AGGGCTGCAGAGAGGGGGGGGCAGGGGGGAGGGGCAAATTGCCCCGGGCCCCGAGGTGCTGGGGGCCCCTAAAAAAATTTTGTTGGGCCACAGCCTTTTTTGTGCGTTAAATATTTCCGCGCAAAGGACAAGATATCTGTTTTTTGGGCTAAGTAACGAAATTTGGCATAAAAAAAATGAGATAAAGTCCCTAGAAAGTTGTCGACGGGGGGAGGTTGAAACATTTTGTAGATAAGGGTCCCCAAAAAATAAATTTGCCCCGGGCCCCCGCCAACCTCTCGGCGGCCGTGCAAGGAAGTAGAGCTTTGTCAGATCTTTTTGAACTTCCAACGCGTTATAATTATAAATCTTGATTGTGGCTATTTCTTATGAAATGGAAACAGTAGCGAAATAGGCTACTTACGCTACTAAGAAGGTAAAAAATAAAAACCGACCGCCCGGTCCATTTTTTTCAAAAAGGAATATTCTTAATAATAATAATAATAATTAATAATAATTTATTCATTTATAAAGCGCTAAACACTATAAATATTCTAGAGCGGCTATTAATTACAAATTCAAATAAAATGTTATAAAATATGAGATTGAGGAGGTACCTATTATACTACTATATTTGAATTAGCCTTGCGTATAGACTTGCTACATAAACCGTATATAGTAGCCGAAAAATCAGTGGTAATAAATTTCTGTACGTTGAATAAAATACATTTGGACTACCGCTACTCACTCCCCAACTGCATTGATTACGCGCGGTCAGCTTTGTGACGTGCGATTATGTATGTGCAAGACGCAAGTCCTTATCTTATCTCAACGCTTATGCCGGTGTCGAACAAAACGTATCGACTTAACAATTTGCTGTTAATAAAGTGTTGACATAACTTTTAGTTCAATTCTACGAAGTTAAAAACCACGATGAGAGCAGTACATATAATATGTGGCACAGGGCATTTCTTAACTATATAACTGGGGGGCCCAAAGCCCCCCCCCCCCAGCCCCCACAACTTAGAGATGCAAAATTTTCAAAATGTTTCCGCTCTGTGCCAACCATGGGCCAGCTTCGTGGTAGTTGGGCCCTCTAAGTTTATCAAGCTGGATCCCTGAGTGACGGCCAAGTTGTGGTATCTACATAAACATACTATGCAAGTACTTAACTGAAGGTTCAGTCTATCTACAGCACATAATGTAATGCTATATATCCAAAAATCTGTTTCAGTCATAGGGGTAGAAAAATACAAAACTTTTCTGGGGGACCCCCCAGACCCCCACTATTAAATGCGATACCACACCAAACTTTTTGTTAGCAACAAACCATCTATCATTTCTCTACGCTCGATATAGTATGGTCCCTTTTTGTAGATGCCCCCCCCCCCCACTGACGAATTCTTAAAAAATGCCCTGATGTGGCAGGGGGAACACGGAAAATAAATAGCTGGTCCATCCAGTAAAAAGAATAATGAATATTTGAGTTTAAAAGTCCGGAATAATGAATAACGGATTTATGGTGAAAAGGAATAAACGGAAAAAATAATAATTAAAATAAGATATTAATATTTAGAATGAATAATGAAAAATTAAAGTCACAGTTGGCGTTTCCATGCGTTGCCGGTCTAGTATGATGAAATTGGAAATTGTTGTTTTGAAAGCGAAAGCTATACGTTTTCACATGTTGTATAATAACAATATAATATAGCTTCCTTTTAAAATTGGGTTTTTAATATACCATCTTAGTAAATTAGTATAGTGCTGTATGATCTTGGCTAAAAGGTACACACGAGTGACCACCTAGATCAGTGCATGGGGTAAACTTGTTTTCCACTAGCGAATTTGTTCGCGCGAATCTTTTGTTCTGTGAGCTCTCGACTGGAACTAATTAATTATATATTTAATCAATTTGAACAATAGAAAATTCGCTTCGCGCGAAGAAATTCGCTAGTGGAAAACAGGCTTTATAGTAAAAGGCGAAAAACGTTTTGTTTTCGTGGTTTTCTCTGCCCGGAATGTACTGACACTCGGCATTAAACGGTAAACCCATTCTTAAGGCCTGATTCCACGAGCGCTTTTTGTCAGCGAAATGCGAAATATTTCGCCTGTTTCTTTTGAATTGCGACCACTCGAATAAATTATTTCTACTTGATTGCTCACAATTCAAAAGAAACAGGCGAAATATTTCGCATTTCGGTGACAATAAGCGCTCGTGGAATAAGGGCTTAACGGAATCACACTTAGCTAAATATTTATATTTTCGCAATTCAACTTTTTTCTTACATAACAATAAGGGAGCGTTCATAATTTAACTAGAGAGGGGGGATATGGTCATTTTAAGGGGGGAGGTCATAATTTTTTAACCCAGCTGTTTAGGAGAGGGGCTATGAAAAATTACCTAACACTATGGCAGGCAGCGTGGGGGGGGGGGGGGTCACCAAAATTTCCTGAGCTTTGATTTGTGGTTTTCATCAAAGCTACTTTAAATTCAAAAAGACATTTTCTCCACAAAAAGTTATTGGGTATAATGTGTAATGTAATAGGTGCGTCAAATGCTGTAACTGTGTGTGTAAAATGACTTTTGTCATTTTGAAAAAGGATTGGCATGTTGGTCTAAATTACAGAATTATTTAATTTAATAACTTAATACTTCAAATGATTAGGAAAATCATAAAAATAGTATACAATAATGATGTCATCCTTTGTCTATTTGCATTGAGTTAATTCGTAAATGCTGACTGCATTTTGATCGGTATAGTATTAAGACAGCAACACTTTAACCCCAAAGGTAAGTTGTGGTAAATAAATTACAGCAGATGCCAGAGTAATTAAAGCCCCGTTTACACTACGCTCAATTTTTGGTACGGCACGGATAAAATTGGTACCCGTGCCACTTTCGGGTTCTTGGACTATCTATTTAGGAAGTCCAAGAACAAAAAAAAGTGGTACGGTACCAAATATCGAGCGTAGTCTGAACGGGGCTTAATTCAGGTATATTGAAAGACTCAGAAACTATAATACTGTGAAATTAAAGGTTAGTTTCAGTCTCAGAAGGGGGGGGCAAAACAATTTTCTCTAGGTTGAGCAAGTTATATGTGAGGGGGCGGCCATAAAACATTATCAGGACTACAAGGGGGGGCATTAACAACCTTAAACAAAAAATAAAAATCACCATAGCCCCCCCCCTGTATCACACCAGTTGCGTGATTTACAATAGTGTTAACATTAACAAATCCTATTTTGTCATATCAAATCGGCTTTACTTGATCGGCATGAGTTGTTATTGTGATATGAGAAAAAGAGTTAAGTGGGGGTTATGAAAATAATGCACTGAATACGTTGGCTTCTCTACTATAGGCCATTATACGTAACATCAGTTTTTTTAACCGGCCGCAAACAATACATCAATTTTTATAAACGCAAACTCACCCTTACGATTTCCAGCATGCAACATATTGTATGCTCCTGATCCTTTGTTATGAAGCAAAAACAAATAAACTGTTTAGCTGTTCGTCCCATTAAACATTTTTTGGGTTTCTCCGGCGGCGTTGGAAAATTCAAAGCTTTGCGTTCAGTACACGGCAGAGCTGCCAATTTTCTGCGAGATGTCCGCTGACAATTTGAGCCCGCACAAGTGGGGGAAAATTTAATTGACAGACGTGAAGCACAGCACTATGGGAATATAGTAAGATAGTTTCGGATATAGTATTGCAACGAATGGACGAGAAAACTCCAAATAATTATAAATAGCAACGAACTTTCATGTTTTCGCTCGCTACTGTCTAGTTTTCATCAGTGGCGTGCTGGGTACTATTTTTCTGGGGGGGCCAGTGGGCTGTCAACCAATATGCGGCCCTCTAATATTACATTTGATAAACGAGGGCCGAAGGCACGAGCCGAGCGCCGAAGGTGCGAGGTTTGTCTAGGGGGGTCCGGGGGCATGTCCCCCAGGAAACTTTTTGAATTTAGAGTCTCTGAAATGCCATTTCCTGGACTTTGGGGATGATTTGACAGAAATCTGATGGTCAGGAAACAGCATTATAACGTGTCGAAATTTGCAATTTGTACTTAAATTATGCAATGCTAACCACTTCCAGCGATTAATCTAATCCCAATTCTATTCTCTACTGATCTAGTGATCTGAATACATTTACAACTTACAGCTCTTTTATACAATAATACACGGACCCCACGCATATGCATTTTAAGGTTTCCTTGCCTGGCTGCCAAAAGGGCGCGTTTCAGCATTATTTCATTACTTACATTACTCACGATGTTTCTTGCGCAAACAACTAAATTGCGCACACAACTTTACATTATCATAACTTCAACTATCTAATTTGCGCCGCTCTCGTGAAGCATAATAAAGGGCGTAATATAAGGGCATAATACCAGCAAAAAAGGGCATAATTCCCGTGATCACTTCCAAACCTGACCAATATTTCGGTAATGAGACATTGCGTTTGATTACTGATCATGTTTCTATATAAATGATTTCGTGTGCGCCGTAAAGTAGCAAATTAGCAAATACGGCTTAATAGACAAAATAGTCTGTAATTTAATATATCACTTTGTCGTTTTCTTGGCGGAAGTAACTATATTTTTTCGAATGCGTTTTTTCCCACCCACTTTCAAAATTCGGCGCGGGATCGGCGCCCCCTTTTCATTTCTGCGCCCCCCAAGAATTGCCAGCTGGGGGGACCGTGGCCCCATTTACCAGCCGCCACTGGTTTTCATAAATGAATGCAAAGCTCAGTCGAATTGCATTCCGACACTCCAGACTTATTTGCCAGAAGAATATATCCATCTTATTGGCAGATAACGTCATCCCATGGGTATATATAAGAAGCCACGTTGCGACTTCAGATCACCCAGATTGAAGACACTAGACTGGAGTGTCGAAACGTTCGGTTGTGAATGCAATCGACTGGGCTTTGTATTCATTTATAAAGTAGCGAGCGAAAACATGACTGATATAGATATACCTGGTTGCTGAGAATTCACAAACTTTTAAAACGACAAACTTTATTGCAAAAGCTTAGTGGATTATTCACAACTTACATAAAGTACTGATTTGGTGATCAGCATTCTGTTTCAAATAACTCCGTTTTACACTACGAGATTGATTGAGCTACTTTCGTATTGATTGAGCTACTTTCGTATCAAGAACGGAGAAAACTATTCAGGGGTTTAGCTCCGCTATATTTGAAGCCATTTTAGCCTTTGCAAGCGCAATCAGTGTGACCATTTCTAACACCATAATTAGTTTGAATAATTAGATATTTCAGGTTGTTCGCAAACTACAACCTGATACTCAGGGTTTTCACTGGTTTGGGGGGATAGCGGAAGTGAAAACCCTGAGTATCAGGTTGCGCAAACTATGGCATCTCATATGCATCAAGCGTCAGTTTTTACTCTACATTTGTTAGCTGCAGTCTCGTCGTTATTGAAAGGTCTATCTTCAACTCACTATATGAATCACTTACCCTTACGATTATAAATATAATAAATGATGAACCAGGAGCATGCACGCAGTAGCATTTAACCTTTAATACCCTTCGGTATTATAGGCTTACGTTAAGAAACGAGTATACACGATCCGATCTCTACTAATAGAGAAGTTATAAGATTGACGTTTACGGCAGACCGGTAACTGCAAACTGCAAACTTCAAATTGCATTTGAAGGTAAGTTCTATAAGTTTTTGATAGCCAAGTAACGGATTCATGCTTCAACTTTGATGCATAATTTCTTAATTGATATTTGTCGTACCTTTGCGGGCATGCAGGGGTTTGCCGTGAACGTGAATTTTTAACATCTCTAGCTATTAACTGATAACCTCCCTGTCCGATTCCTCATCAGCTATTGCATCATTCGAATTTCGTTGCCCTTTTCTTCGTCTAGGTTCGTAATGAACCACAGCTAGTTCTGATGTATTTTGATTCCACGAACTGCCTCCTTCGGAACGATCCGGGTCCCGTCGATCTCGTCTTCGTCTAACCAGTGATGTACTTTCGTCATCGTCTTGGTTCTTTACCCGTCTTCGCCGACGTTTTCTTCTTTCCCGACGTTCATCTTCACTGTTCTCTGACTGTGGGCGCCGTTTCCCTCCCCTTCTTTCTCGTTTCGAAGAAAGACTTTTTACCTCTTCTGACTCTCCTGTAATCTTGTGGAAAAGCGATACTGCTTTCTCTTGTATAGTAGAAAGGATACCTTTTGGTTCTTCCTTTTCTAATTCAGCTGTTCGTTTAGAACGTCTCTTTCCTTTTACAATAAGAAAACATTGAAACTAATAAGAACTAACTCGTGGCGGCCTGCAGAGTATATGAGAGTATTATTTGATAAATACAAAATTGTAAACAAATATTCCACGGGTATTTTTTCTTTGTTATCTATTCTTTAGGTGGTGTCGAAAAGCAAATTGAGAGGAAAAAGACAGAGAAGCAAACATAACTGAATTTAACACGACACTTTTTTTTGTTCGACAACAAGGAAGTCAAACTATTTTCTACTTCTAAGTTGAGATCATAGATATCTTATATACACTAGATAGTGCATCTAATTATTCTGCAATTCAAAAATTGAAGCCGTGATTGAAGACTCAGGATATTCCCATGAAATGAGAAGACTCGTATGTTTTCTATTTCTTAAACAGGGAACTTAAACATTAAGTTAATAAACCTATTCAAAGTACATTTTCAAACTATTCAGATGATGAAAGTTATTGTTGTTTTTAAGCGTTTATTAGCGAGTAGGAAACTCCAACATGGCCGCCATCTATTCAAATGGGGGAAACCGCTGGAATATTCTTGGCTTCAATTTTACTAAAAGAGATGCGCTATCTAGTGTATATAAGATATCTATGGCTGAGATAATAAGGTTGTCGGAGAATACTGGAGAGGTCTAAAACTTATTCCACCATGTTTAATGGTTACTGTATATTTAATCACATTGTAATTTCAACTTACTTTTTTTCCCCTCTTCGTCTGCACTTTCCTTACTTTCATTGTTCCGATTTTTCGATTTATTAGAGGTAAATTTCACCTTGTTTCCTGAAATATATAAATATGCTAGGCAATCAAATTTACCGCAATTTGATATAATTAATTATAAAACGAGTTCTGGGATAAAAAAAAAACAATAGGAGTAATATAATGTTTTCCTTCCCAATTAATGCGCCTAAATTTTTGCAATGATTGAATTTTGCAGAAACTGATATCAATATATACTATCCTTCTATAACTTGTTATTGGTATTCATTCAAAGTATTAAGGAATGGTATCGGATTTCAATTAAGTAAGAACAGTTGCAATAGTTCGAGAGGCAATGTTTATACTATAAATCCACCGGCCATTAAGAGACAGGACTTTGTAAATCATATGGACTGGATATACTGCAGCGTGTTGCGAGTATCAATTAGATGTTACGAAAAAGAAAAGGATACATTTGTTGTCTGTTGGCTAATTTAATCCATAACTTATTTAATTAACAAGGACGTACTTATCTTGGTTCCGGTAACCAAACCTTCTATTTTTATTACCTGAGTACATAGTTATTAATTCTTGAATCTTCAACAAGTCGTTTAACAATTCCTCTTGCATAATAAGTAACTGTTTGATATCTTGAAACAACGCGTCGAAGTCCGATGTTTTATTTTTCCCATACACCTTGCCAAAACGATCAAGAAGCAACTCATTCAGATAGAGTAACTGACTTTGTACTTCATGCTGCGCGATTTGCTGGTCACTCGTGGAGCTTCGTTCCTTCACCTCGATGTTTATGACTTCCGGACTGCAATTAATGCGCATGTATTCTTCGTACTTAAGCCATCGATTTTTTGTCAACAAGCTCTTTGCGTCCACAACTTTGATCGCTCTCTGCATTATGGTATTTGCTACAGCGTTGCTATATACGCGAGAGAAGGTATCGGTCAGTAAGGCAATCAGTAAGTTCAATGTGACTATTGATACGGCAGTGACGTATAAAGCAACGAGGATTCTTGCCATTACTGGATCAGCTGCAACTATTCCATCAAGGTTAAAATTGTCGCCCACTGCTATCCTGAACACGGTGTACAATAACTCATTACCTAAAAAAGTCACCAAACGTCATCTAATGTCGATGTCCACTTATAAGTAGGCTTCCTTGTAGGCTTCTTGTTATGCCCCATTCCACTCAAACATGCAATCTTAAAAAGGTCAGTTTTTTAATTGCAGTGTATAAAACAGGATTATCCACCCATTGTGTCATGCATTTTTCAATGACTAATATTATTAATAATAAACAACAAAGTCAAAGTTGGTAGTTTTCTCGAGTTTTCTGTATTCGTGTTTACTATACCTTCATGGTAGCCTTCCACGGGATGGATCGATATATCTCCGAAATTTATCCAAAACGCAGCTGTGAACGGTATGAGCAAGAGGAGATAGAGAAACGCCCAGTTGATAAAATCTATGATAGTTTCGCCTAATACGATGACAAGCGTACCGATACCGTTAAATGGTCGCACACATTTCAGCAAACGTAGCCAGACCAACAGATTTACAATGCTGATAGTACGGGTGTACACATAGCGCGTTGTACTATTGTCAAAATAGAAATACACGACACTTGTGGCAGTAGTAAGTATGATAAGGATAAGCACAACCCAGTCCAAATAAAACCAGGCACCGAAGGAGTTCAACAAAGGCAAGGATTTGACGCGCTTTATTTCAAGTCGGATGTACTTTTCCTCCTGTGGCCACCGAGGATGGCAGTACTGTATTTCGTCTTGAAGTTGCGCAATTCGCCAGTCTACCCAATTCTTTTGTGATTTTCGCGCCTTCATAGTCGCTATTGAAAGGCAATAAAAGAATTACGACAAAAAATGAATATATACACTCTGAAAACACACAAGAATGTTAAACTTTTCATTTCTTTGGTGAAATAAATATTTCATATTTCATGAGGTAAAATGAATATTTTCATATATATACATAATTCTTGCGAAAACCTCTTTAGTAATCACTAGTTTTTAATTTTTTTGCCGGTTTGCTGCAGTTCTTCAGCGGTGCCGAAATAAACAAATTTGCCGCACAAAGATATATAAATTTGGTACTAACCATTAATCTGCCCAACGATATCATAAAACGTCATAACCGCAAGGACCAAACCCATTATTTTCAACCATATTCGCGCCTCAAACGGTTCATACAGTGCCTTTCCTGTGCCAGGAGTGAACATGCAAGTCGTAGTCCATAATATTCCATACACGACGTGAAATAGCAAGTCGATGACAGTGGATAACCGACCATATTGCATCCACTTGTTATAAATGAGCCTCTGCATTACCGGATGGGTAACTACTTCGAATTTTCGTGTAATAACTGCCATTTCAAGTGGTGACCGCACAGGTTTTGCCCGTGTGGGCGCTTTAACCTTTCCGTTTTTTGTCCCTTTTACGGTCGTTTTCCCATTTGCTGGCGTTTTACCCGTTGCGGGTGTTTCAACCTGTGCAGGCATACCAATCACTGGGGTCGTTACTTCTTCCTGGGGTAGGGACTGTTCTAGGAATTGAAGGTAGTAAAATTCCTTCATCGTAATAACGTCTGTGGTGTGCAATTGGTTCAATGCTTCTAAGGCGAGATTTGGTAGGCGATCGATAAGAACGGTGAGTGCAGTATTTCCAGAGGAGTCAAGTAGACACGATGCAGCGCCTTCGTCGAGCAGAACCTCTGCAGCTTTTCCACGTGTGTATTCTGCAGCCATCTACGTTACATAGAATAAAAGGACTAATTCGTATTTTGAAAATTGAAAGCAAGGAGAAGAACGAAAATTATATTAGTTAGTCAGGTATATTAAATACAAAACATTTACGTATATACTAGATAAGCTAGGTTCTTGTGGTACCAGGAATTAATAAATATATTAATATACATATTAAAATATGTATAATAAATTCGTATTTCGCATTGCGTTTGTTACAAGGTTATCGTTCAGCTATGAATCCTGTCAAATAGCCAATAGGGTAAACCATCCGTATTTGCTGACTAAACTTCTTAAATTTAAAGAAATATGACTTTGCACTGGTTTTGCCCCGACAACGTTTGTTTTGATTCAAATTCTTACTGTCCCCCTCCGGCCCCTGCCAGTGTCGTGGAGAAAAATTTGAAATGTTTGTTAATATTCGTTGTCCAATCAGATTTGAGTGTATTTTGGGTTGTTCAACGACTTCCGGATTTTGTCCAGCAAACCGGATATATTTTCGCCGAATTTTGTCATTCCTTCGCGGATTTTAGAGCGAATTTAACGGTATCATTATTGCAGGGGATATCGATTAGTCGCCAAGTCCTGCCTCGTACCCAGGCATCTCTTTGTAAAAAAACAGTGATGCGCATATGACGAGTTTACATGAAGTATTGTAGTGGGGAGAGATGGACTATTTTGGTCGCAATCTTTGTCCTTCCCTCATTATATGGAAGTCACAGGCAGGCGCGGGCAAATAGAGCCTGGGTCTCCTGGGGATCATGTTTCGAAGTTGCGTCGTCGAGTTGTCGCGTCGTATAACCACGGTATAACACAGCCGTGGCTCGTGTGCATTAAAGAGTCATTGTGAACCACAATGCATTTGTTTACATCTTACCTTCGGAAGTGACAAATAGCAACAAATGACGATTATAAACATTTCTTTGGCGCAATTTTAGTATACAAAAGTTAAAATGAGCAATTAGTATAACCATAGGATGGTAGTAATATATTATGGATTGAAAACCGAAACATCTATTATTCCGCCATTAAAATGGCCGCCAAGCAGGTTTGGGCGCACAATGCATTGAGGTTGACAATGATTCTTTAATTACGCTGTTAGCATGCGAGCAAACGAACGATCGTCAATCTCGTATCCTGGTTTGGTACGAGATTGAACAATTATTGATGTGTAGCCGCTGCCCAGATTCATGTACGAAATTTTGGACGAAAAACTGGTAAAACAAAGTTTGGATAAATATCAATATTATGTCATTGCGTACTGTTCCGGTTTGACTCCGAAATATTTCCAGTACTTTTTTCCGGATTCAACGTTTCCGAATACCACTCAAAACCGACATGATATCCTATCGGATTCATCGCCCAGCAACGTCAAACGAGTTTCAGATTGGTGGAAATGGGTTAAAGTAGTCGCATTTTGAACTCTCCCCTCCTCTTCCCTAGTAGAGGTCAGTTCGTTTGAAATATGCCTCGGCTGATACAAGTATATTAATTTGTTTATTCGAACTGACATATTCCACCAAATACTGAACACTGCTAATGTCAAAATGGATTTGTATTTTACTAGCATGGGACCGGTTTATAACTAAACAAACTTAATTAAACTTCCTGACAGCTTGTCTATCAATCAGTGGAAATATTTCTTCAGAAATATTGTATGGTTGGATAAGAATTTACTTCTCTGAAGTTTTGAAATAAACAGACGTGCAGAAATACAGAAACAAAACAGTTAAATTTGAATTAACCAAGGGTTTTTGTGTCTTCAAGTTAAAAATATCTAACTATGGCTGGAACTAACCTGTAGCGGGGTGCGTTGCTTAGAATCCAACGAGTTGATATCTGCGTGAAATCCCAACAACACTCGAAGTGATTTTGTTGCACCATTTTTTGCAGCAAAGTGAATGGGGGCTTGATTTTCATTGATGGTCCTCGCATCAATATTAGCGTTATTAAGCAAGAGGAATTCCGTCATTTCTAAATAATCAACAGCGGCAGCAACATGGAGAGGCGAACGACCATAGGAATCTTGTTTGTTGATATCACAACCTTAAAATGAAGGAATGACATATAATATAACATAGAACGATTCGATATAAATTTTTAAAACCACTGAGTATTTTAATAAAATACAAAACAAGTGAAACTCCAAAAATCGATAACATTTTTATTTATCTACGTTTCGCCGCACTATATTTCAGTCATCATCAGGATAAGTTTATCCTGATGATGACTGAAATATAGTCGAAACGTAGATAAATAAAAATGTTATCGATTTTTGGAGTTTCACTTGTTTTGTATTTGATTCGATATAAGAACGGCAAAAAGGTTCAACAGCAGCCGTTTCGGTGGTTTTATATCAGTGTGATAAAACATCATGTTAATTTAATAAACTTTAGCTTTGATTTTCTCAGCTTAGCCAACGTTTATACTTTGTTGAAAATTAGGACATCACTAGAACCAAAACTGACAATTCCACTACGATTAACAATAATACATGCAGCAGAGCATTTTAGTTCAAATTGAAACGTATAAGAATATAAGGAATACAATCATGCGGTTCTCACGATCAAATTAAATATTAGATCTTAATATTGTTGGTCATTTTCAGGAAACGTATCACTTGAAGCATTAGTCACAAATTTCAATAATTTTCAACAGTAGTTTTTGTGACGTTAATTTCTTGATTGCGTGAAAAAAAAATCTAAAACAATAACGAACAACATTTTCCTCGAGTAAACAGGTGGGTTTAAATGACAATGAAACCATTATAAATCTCAATATAGCTACTTGAATGCGAAAAATATAGGAATATCAAAATGGAAGAAAAAGGCAGTGAAAATTACTATATTCGTTGTATTCATGAGATCACGTATCCATCATTCCTATCCACCCCATCTTTTTAATTATCCATGGTCATCCTCGGTCCCCAGGGTCTCATAGCTGACTAAAGGAATACCGAATGGTTTTCCGTGCAGGATTGTGTGATCCATGCACGAGGGATGTCGCGAGACTTTCGGAAAGCGTAAAAATACTCGAGCCGCACGCGAGTGTATTTTTACGCTTTCCGAAAGTCGAGCAACATCCCAAGTGCATGCATGGATCACGCTATCCTGCTTGGAAAACCATTTGGTACTTGTTTTATAAAATAACTACAGTGAAACAATGACATTTTGAGAATCCCGCGAACATCCCGCGAAGGCATTTTAATTCCACGTGCAGGATAGCCTGATCCTGCACGGCTATTGACCAATCAAATTGCGTGTTTCACTGTAGTTATTATATGAACTGCGTTCTCAGCCGTGAGGCCCAGGACCGAGGATGATCCATGATCGAATAGAGTGTGGCCGAATTGATACAAATTAAATACGTTTACTTTGAAATTCCTGTTCCTCACTATCGTCAGGATATGTTTTTCAATTTTTGGGTCATAGTTTTCAAAGTTTAGAAATTATCTTCACTCTTATGACATGTTTATTTTTGTGCAAACGGACCCGGAGATTCCCCTTCGGCACCAATCAGAAGGCTACGTTTTAGTAGCGGACATGGAAATACGGACTGAGAATAAATTAAATTAATATCTTTCAACGATTTCGTCTCTCAGCCTGGTAATATCAATTCAAAGTTTAATTAGCCTTTCTCACAATGACGAATATCCGCCATTTTTGGTTGGCATCTCCATTGCAGACAATTAAAACAATGTGAAAAGCAATTTTTCAAAATAAACTAACCATTTAAAAAGCAAATTTACCATAGTCAAAAAAATTATAGAAAGTCGCTGTTATAAAAAAAATTATAAAACGTCGCTGCGAGATAATCGCAGACTTCGGCTGAAAAGCCACCCAAAAATGGCGGCGTGAGTGAGAAAGGCTATAATTGTAACCAATCAATTGAAAATGAGACGAATTCGGGCAGATCTTTACCTATGTCGAGAAGAAACTGGGCGACATCAGAATCCCACGATCTTGCTACTTCGTGAAATATTGATTGTCCATACTGATCAGCAATGTTAATATCAGCACCTCCATTTACCAAAGATTCCACAAACTCATAATTAAACTTATCAGAGCTACTATTGGAGTTAGCTATTGTCGCTACATACTGCAGTAGGGCGCGATTCCTTTCCAAGATGCTGTTATTTGTTTCTTCCAAAGCGGTCGGGTTCAATTGGTTTTCAATGACAGCTTGAAGTGGCTCGTTGTGACGAGACGTTCCTAAAGAATCAACAAATGAAGCATTGTATTATTTATGGATGGTTACACAACGGTTTGTTGACTTTGTTTTCCTTGCAGTGTCAGTGCATGATACTACTACACTGGGTCAAATCTGGCGTTTCATTTTTTTGCTCAAGCCATATCACATAATTTAATTGTTTTATGTGTTTTGTTTCAATTAATGTTAGAAAACATAATTTTTAGTGTTAAGAGACCAGAAGATCGTTAAGGTCAACGAGACACGTAATTGGTATGGTCAAAAATCATCATTCTTGTATTTTTACACGACTGTATATGCTTACTGGCTAAAGCCTAGGTCTTTTATATGGCGAAAACTAAATCCAATTTGTTGGTTGTTTTACCAGATTTGCAGTTTAACAGTGAACCATGCAGGGTTACAAAATTTGGTTTGGGTTATAAAGTTTTCGACTCGTTCTAAGGATTCCAGATAGTATTGTGGCAGCATATAATGGACAACTTGTGCGCCATAATCGAGAATAGATCGAATACATGTAGTGTAGAAATTAATAAGATCTTTTGCCGGAACATCAGCTTGTTTCAATTGAACGAGAAAAAATAATCATTTGTCAACCTTTTTAATCACTTCATTGACATGATTGTTCCATTGAAGATTGTCCGACGGACCGACACTGTAAGTCTGTAAGGCCTAAAAATTTGGCATGACGTACTACGTCAATAGGCTCATTGTTGATTAATATATAGGGTCAAATTGGTCTTTCCGTTGTTTAAAGTCTATAACGAGTTCTTCGTTACATTTATCAGGATGAAGTTGTAACTTATTCTTAGATGACCGACTTTCAATTTCTTTGACATCTTGTTGTATTTGACTGGCACTACCCTGTGAGACTATTTCGTACATAGTAATATCAAAAGTATCCAAGGCTACCGGGGCTGATGGAATACCAGCCAAAATGCTGAAATTATCTTGCGATATTATTGCCCCATCCTTGACCTATATATTTAATCTCTCAATTTCTACTGGGATATATGTTGATGATTGGAAAAGAGCTAGGGTAATACCTGTTTATAAAACAGAAGATAGAACGAAATGTGAAAACTATCGCCCGATATCTATTCTTCCCATTATCAGCAAATTATTTGAGAAAGAAGTATTTGGACAGCTCTATCAATATTTGATAGACAATTCTCTACTTTCACGTTTTCAATCGGGCTTCCGGCCCAAACATTCGACACTGTCCTTATTAATAGAAATGAGTGACAATTGGTTTGAAAATATGGATAATGGAGAAATAACCGGATTAATTTCGGTTGATATTAGGAAAGCCTTTGACTCTATTGATCATAAAGTCCTATTAAGGATGATGCAAGACCAGTTTGGTGTTCAAGATTTTGAGCTAAAATGGTTCCAATCCTATTTGACGAAACGAAGCCAAGTTTGTGTTGTCGATGGCCACACATCGTTGGCTAAGGAAATTGTATGCGGAGTTCCACAGGGATCTATCTTGGGACCCCTCATGTTTTTATTATATATAAATGATTTGCCAGAATGTCTGAAAAACACAACTCCTGGCATGTATGCTGACGATACTCAAATCAATATGCATCTTCCGCAAGTTTCTCCGAACTAGTAACCAAACTTAATCATGATTTAGAAAATATAGTCAAATTGCTCTCTCGAAATAAATTGCAACTTCACACAAAAAAAGACAAAAGCAATGTTTATAGGATCACCCTATAACTTAAAAAACAAAGTTGGTAATGAACAGGTTATGATAAATGATAAACCGGTTACTCGATATTCCTCTTTTCCATGTCTGGGAGTAGAACTAGATGAAAGAATGAGCTGGGAAAACCATATAGACACAATATGTAGGAAAGTTGGCTCCGGTATTGGAATCATCAAAAGAGTAAAGCCGTTTGTACCGTCCGAAACACTACAAAATAGTTATATAATTCTCTCGTTCTCCCATATTTTGACTATTGTTCATCTTTATGGGATAATTGTGGAAGCACGCTCAGAGAGAAATTACAAAAACTACAAAATAGGGCGGCAAGAATTATGACAGGTGCCAATTATGATGTCAGGTCGACAGATTTGCTCCATGCTATGTCATGGAAAAATCTGAACGACAGACATAAAATGAATAAATCGGTCTTGATGTTTAAAATATTAAACAACCACTCAGCTCCGAACTTAAAGGATAAATTTGTAACAAGAGACATAAATCTTAGTACTAATTATAATCTCAGAAATGCTGATATAAATCTTTCAGTTCCTAAACCACGTACTGAATATTTAAAAAAGAGTTTTGGATATAGCGGGGCTGTTCTATGGAATAGTTTACCTACGCAGGCAAAGCAAACAGAATCACTTTAAGTAGCTTCAAAAATTTGATAAAATAATGTGTGCTACAGAGTCAGGCATCGAATAGTCTTGGTTTTTTAACTTTTTTATCTACGTATTTGTTATTCTATGTTATTCTATTTCATATTTAATTTATATTAGTTTTTAGAATGTAATTTGTGTGACGCCCCTCATGAAAATCATCCATGGGTGATGAGGGAAGCGTGGTTAAATAAAGTTTTACTATATTACTATTAACGAACTTCCAGGTCGGTGAATATCTCACTTCTAAATCATTAATCATAAAAAAGAGCCAAGGCCCCAATTTAGTGCCTTGGGGCCAGGGCGCTACTTGGGGCACACCTGATGGAACGTGACCCCATTCATAGTAAGAATCGTTTGAGATCTTTATTCTTTGATATCTGTCTGTAAGACATACCATATTTCATATGGTATGTCTAGACTGCGAAGTTAATTTTTGGAGAGGAATATAGTGTCAAAAGCTTTAGTATAGTCAAATAACACAATTCTCACCACTGCAGAAGTACCATCCGTAGCTTTTACCCATTCATGAATCATGGAGACCAGAGCTTGTCAGCTTGAGGATTTAGGAATAGCACCAAATTGGTTAGGATCAATTACTTTTAAGATTGCTGGAGCGTTGAACCTAGACTTGCTCCAAGTCTCTCTTTCCTTGTCCTATCGATCCACTATAGTGTACATTACATTACATTACATTACATGACGTAGCACGGAGAGGCGGAGCGAGAAAGAGAGACTTGTCAACTTTGGAAAATCTCGGTTCAAAACTGAACCGAAATTGCAAGACTTGCTTTAATTGTTTTCTGTCAGTGTTTATATGTATTGATCTAGCACAGCGTAAATAACATGAGTTCCATTATAGTAAACAATACAGAAAGAAATTGAAGGAAAATAACTAAAGCAAGTCTTGCATTTTCGGTTCAGTTTCGAACCGAGATTTTCCGAAGTTGACAAGTCTCTCTTTCTCGCTCCGCCTCTCCGTACTACGTCATGTAATGTACACTATAGTGGATCGATACTATATGACAATGAAAGAGAGACTTGGAGCAAGTCTACGTTGAACCTCGACACAACACTGAATTCCTCAGCGACTTTTGAAATTGTTGATGTCAAAGAAATTGGTCGGAGATGCTTATTAATGTCAGTAACCGGTTTGAGTTTAGGTATAGGGGTGACGTTGGCATTCCAGATAGTATACAGTAGGAAGCTTCATTTCCTGGTAAGAATTATTTAGTATGGAGCAAACTGGTACAGTTAAAAGTTCAGCATGATCTCCAGGGACGCCGGAACTGGGGGGCAGGGGGGGTGGCTGCCCCCCTTGCCTTTTGCTAGGGGGGGCAAGGGGGGCAGAAGTGCCCTTTTAGTTGTAAAATAATACGTGATAAATCACATTTCCAACGATGCTTTTTGGAGGAAAATCACGAGATTCAGGTAATTTATAGTTTATATTTATAAAAGTTTTGGGAAATTTTTGGAATTTAGAAAAATATTTTGAAGAAATGGCGAAAATTTAAGATATCCGGAAAAATTTTTGGCTTCACGGAAAATTCTTGTATGTCCGGAAAAAATTTTTGTCCCCTAAAATGGTACACTGACCGAAATTTTTTTGGCGAAGGGGGGGGAGGTCGCCAAAAAATTTTGCAGTGAAAAAAAATTTTTCAGTAAAGGTGCCCTTGGTGTGCGTCCGCCCCCCTTTGCCCTATTATCGTTCCGGCGTCCCTGATGATCTCTCAAGAGCCAGTTCGGAATTCCGTCAGGACCGGATGCTTTCCGTGGATTTAAGTTACGGAGAATGTTATAAACCTCTAATTGCATGAGTAATTAAGAACAAAGGAAAATTCGAAAATTCGTCATTAACCATCACTGGCGCTATAGTAGATTCATACTGGAGCAAAGAAATTAAGAAAGCTTCATTTTTTACGGTTTGTAATATTTTCAGTTAATCAGTTGGTCCAATTGTAATTGATCTAACACTTCCTTCCACCAAAGAGATGGCTTTGACTCTTTTAGATGCTTGATTTTTAATGAAAAAACCCCACTTTGACACTTTTTCCGTTCAGTGTTAACACGATTACGGTAGAATCGATACAAGTCTAGGTCTTCTTATGAAATACTCGTTGACGGCGTTTTATAAGATCTTCAAGTTCAGCCGTAATCCAGGGTGGATCGTTAATATGGACTTTCTTCTCTTTAAATGGCATAAAGTTTACAAATCAGTGATTTTTTCCGCACATGGTCACTGCCATAGTAAAATCAACATTTCCCTGACAATAGTTATCTATTTACATTTTTTATTTATCGCCCTTCGAACACAAAGCAACTTAGTTAGAAGAAAGGTTTAGAAAGAATTAAGTTATATATGTATATATATTATGAATATGAAGGAAAAACGAAAACCTATAGCTACCGCATACACTTTTGTAGTGATTTGACTTTCCAAAAAGTAACGAAACTTTTCGCGTGATGTGAGTGCGCTTATCTTTCGTACACAATATAAAAAAAAGTTTGAAAAATGGTGAAATACTATGCACGGTAACTGATTTGGCATTTATTATACTATAACTGGTCAAATTTGAGAGAAATTCGCTCAGCATGCACCAGGCTTCTTGAATCAGTTTAATAATTTCTACCATGCATATATACGTTTTCTCTTGGAAACACGCAGGTTGTGACTTTGCATCATAGCTTTAAAAATATTTTACAGAAAATATTTACCCAACATGCTCTTCACCAGCATTTCTTCATAGCACTTTAGTTTCGTTGTCCCACTGCGGTTCGCATGACGTTCAGATTTTGTTTCTTTGTGTTCATCCATTTCTGACCCCCAGAATATTTACGAAAGCCACGGGAAACTCTGCAACGGTCAATTGCAGGTATGTCCAGTCCTGCAAACAACAAAACAAAATACAAGAACATTTTCACTCGTTCAATACAAAATTTATGTCTTACAATAAAGTAGTGGCCTGGCGTCTGGCATCTATCATTACTTTCAAATATTACTTTCAAATATACGAATGTCATGATACGCTCTGTTCAGTTGCGAGACTGTTCAACCAAAGTCACATTCAATATATTTTAGACATTTATATAGCTTATGGGTTCATTTCAAACATATAGCTCTAAAATGCACACGCGGAGCGTCATCTGAAACACCATGCAGCTTTTAGAGTTTTAACTCTGCAGGTAACATTAATGATCAATAAATTTGCCCAACTGAAATATATGACTGAATCAAAATTAAGTATACGCCTATATATATTGGTCGAAGCCACGTATTTTACAACATTTCGCAACTAAACTTTGCAGTTTTTCTAATTTTGATAACTTCTTTCCGAAAATATCCTTTGTTATTCCCAGATTAAAAATTTTTCTAAAGCGCAAGTCGTCCATTATAAGGAAATAGCACTGACCACTTAACTGGACTTTTAAAGCACTTAAAAGTGCCTGAATCGTCTGGCATCTATCATTAAAGAAATTTGTCGAGAAAGAAATTTGTCATGCAAGACAAAAACTGTGAATAATTTGTGATCCAAGGGGTATTTTCAATGACTTAAGCTCTGTCACGTCTTTCATGCAACGTGAAAGCTTATTGCATGAGGTGTTACTTAAGAGGTGTTACTTAAAGTCGAAATTCGCTGTTACACTGTTATATACATTAAGAAAAACGACTTCAGGATTGCATTGCAAGGGATGTTACACCAAGCAATATGTTCCATGCAAATTGCAATGATCATTATTCATTAAAATAGTATAAAAACCGCAAGTTCTAACGTTTGGCGCCATATTGTCAGTCAAAAGCCAATAGGAACACAACGCAATGCTTTAAAAATGCATTGCAGCGTTGCCGCAATCGTTGCAAAAAGTAGAACCTGATTCTACTTCGTGCAATGGTTGTTGCAACAAAAAAATTGCGACGCTTGTTGATTGAGAGGCATGATAACCTTGCAATTTCGCGTGCAACTTGTGTCTCTACAAAATTGCGAGACAAATTGCATAGTACATGTAACAGCGCCATAGCTGATTATTGAAGTTAGATTAGAGGTTATTTGAAAAAGCTTCAAACATTTAATACATGCAGTAATCAAATTGCTTAGCGTTCATTCTTGAGCTGAGATTCAGACCGCGTCGTAGATCGTAAATTCTCTAAAGGCCGGTTTCCATTTGCCCGCGCGTGCGGAGCAGCTTTGAAAATCTGCTCACGTGGGCGTGACGGTCGTCAAAAACAATAGGGAGCTTTAGATTTGACTACGAGTACGACTACGAGTACGAGATTTGACGCGTGCGAGGAAGTCACCGTAGTCGTTCTCGTTTCCATTCAAATGTTGCTTTTATAACAGTAAATCAACAACGAGAGAAAAAGTTTCATAAACTAAATCTCCTTCTGACTAAAATCCCCTACAAAACTTGCAAATAAGTTATAAAATCAAAAACAGGCCAGATATTTAGTACTAATATATTATTTGCGCCGGATAAACGCTATATAAATGCTACAAATTATTTTTGGAAAACAAAAAAAAGCCAACTTTCTTTGTTTTTTTGAAAAGTCGTCGTGAGGACTACGAGGTTTCTCCACAATTTCGTACTCAGATGGGCGACGGCTACGACTTTTTAGCGTCAGTACGGGATGGCGTAAGCGTACAGCATGCGTTTAGCTTGACGAATCTCGTACTCGTAGTCGTACTCGTAGTCAAATCTAAAGCTCCCTAATGAACGCTCCGCCCGCGCGGGCAAAGCGAACGTTAATGGAAAACGGCCTTATTTAGCCGTTTGATACCATGGTCAGGAGCCGGCGCTCACGCGACCTGTCATGTTCAGAACTTCTGATCAGACAGTTTGTGGGGAGAGGACCGAGAGGTGAATACATGTTCACAGTGTTCACCGTTCATAGACATATCAAGATGAAAATTTTAAGGAATGAAAATCTCCTGTGTTGGTCAATAAACCAACGAACTAAATGCTACAACGCCTTCCCCAAGGCCAATATAACGGCAAAGTTTCGGCACACCATTGCAAGAGAGGGCTGTCACACCAAACATGGCTCGTATTTAAATGCAAATGTATAAACACTGCTTACGCTTGCTACTTTCCCTTCACGTACCAGAAGATTATTGAATTAATTCGTATAGTGCATGAACAGCAAGATTTCAGCTAACAACACGATAGTCATACTGGGATATTTTACATACTTTCATATCGGTCAATCTCTATATTACGTGGTCTTCCCAAATAACTCCGTGTACAAATAATTTTCGGCAAAATGATATTGTATACGTACACTTGTATTCCGTACTTTTACACAAACCTTATAGGGCCAGCTTAGAGACCTTTGCCTGTTAGTACATGCATATATTAATAGTTATAACTTATATATACTGATTAAATTTTATCGCAAATTTTGTTCGCGAATATTGCCGGAAATAACTCTAAATAACTCCGTACACGGTACCTCAAACCTTTATGCGGGTAATAAGTTGAAACCTGGTTGTGGTATAGTATATAAAGCCATGCTCATATATATTGACGAATAAGCAGAAGATATATGCCTTGTGTTGTTCAATTTATTTATCAAAATTCCCCGGACTGCATGATCTTCAGTGAGTCTACTAATCTTTAGCCTTAGCCAGGATATAGAAAACGGCATCCATATGATGCGTACGATGTACAAGATATACATACCTTTAATTATAAGCTTTTGTTCTCTTATGAGTTATGTATCCACAAATAAAGTGAAATCATTGGCAGGATCATGTCGGTTCTAGAACGTGTATGTAATCAGTACTTGCCCGACAATAAACGAAGCATGGTAAAATATGCACATAAATTATAAAGATAAGTACTTATTTCAGTGTTGGCATGCACTGTTGGGGTGTCAAACATGACATGTTTTGTTAAATTAAACCGGCTAAACATTTCGTTGTTATTATCAACCATATATCGTTCATATAGGTCGGCAGCGACCCACAGTTGAAATACAAATCAAAGCGCTATTTAGGGACATGGTCAATTGGTCATCTCGTTCCCATAGCCTCGTAGCAAAAAATACTTTGATACAGTGATAGTCTGTGACTAACCTGTTGTTGTCGATCTGCACTGAATTACCACGTATATATGGAATTGGCTTTTTAATATGCAAAACGTGTGTTCTTCCACCTATAATCTATATTCTATAAATACTGATTTAAATGTCTGATTTGTCACGCTGTTGTACCGCAGTCCGAGCCGTGTAACAAAATTCTAAACCGGCGGAGCGATTCAAACCTGAAATTGCATTGCTTTAACAAACGGAAAATATAGCTACAAATTATTCTTCTATATACGGCATAAAATTATATTGTTATTACTTTTGTAATTACTGGACTGATACGCCAAATAATGTGTTATAACGTTAACAGTACCGGGCGTAGTAACGTTTTAACAGTAGCTTTTACATCTTCAATACCATGCACTGATGGTAATAAAATTATTTCTATGGTATTAGCCAATTATTTCTAAAGTAATCCAACTTTAACATGCCATTATGGGTTATAATTACTCGGTGTATGAACGTAATTTTTTCATATCATAATTTAATACATAAATTAAGTCTCAAAGATCTGGGGCCGGTTATATAAAAAAGTGATTTTAATCATTTTAGTAATTAAAATAGTGATTAGTAATCAGTAATTTAGTAATTTAATTTAATAGTGATTTTAATCATTGTAGTGATTTTTTAGTGCTAAAAAGTTAACTATAGTTAGTGGAAACGTCATCCAATAAGAAGCGCGTATTTGAGAGTTATAATCACTATTTAACTATAAAATAGTGATTAAAAAAGTGATTAAGAGTTTTGTACAACCGGCCCCAGGCTTTTAGCTGTAGGAGCAAAAAAAAGAGCAAATCAAGTCCGATAAAATTTGTTTGTCGAAATTGCATATTAATTTTTCACTATTGAAAATTACCTCCCTTTAGTAAAGCCAGCTTTGGAACTAGTTTGTATAGGACTTAAGTTGATGAATTGAATTCACTTCAATAAATATTATATAAACATCTTGTAAACCAGCTCTAAGACTAAGCTCATTGTTAATACTTTTCCTTTTGTTATGCACATGCAGGGGTGAAAATATGAGATTTAGACAAACAACTTTTTATCGGATTCGTATTTGCTCATTTTTTCCCCATATTGGATGAAAAAACGTGTCATTCAACAGCTAAAAGCTTGATCTTTATGATTATTAAAAAGTACGTTCATACACCCAGTAATTATGCGAAAGTTGGATTACCTTTTCCTTATACACCATGTATATAGCCACAGGTTAATTAACAATGCAATGCACGTTTGACTTGAAAGAACATGCAGATAATCAATTCATGGTGATTTGGAAAACAAAGAAACCGATGAAGCATTGCATTTTATCAGTGCTATATCTAGACACTTTTGTTATGCACAGTCAGTAAGGCTATGTTTTAATTAATTAAACATTCGTTAGGTTCCTCATCCGACTATGTTTAATATAACTATGACTACAGGGTGAGTAAAAAAAACCTGACATCTTTGAGTATTCAAATTAGCCGCGAAGGTATCGTTTTTTTTTACTCACCCTGTATGTAGGTGGATGTCAAGCAATCCCACGAGACTTCGACACAAAGTGAGACAGAGCTGGGACGAGCTTCTTAGTCAATAATAGTAACATTTATCAGTTATAGACCTGAAACGAGGGGTATTCCACAAAAAATTACCCTGCGGGATGAAATATTCCGAGGGCCCCGAGGAATATTTCATCCCGCAGAGTAATTTTTTGTGGAATACCCCGAGTGAAAGGTCTATAAATGGTATATTATACCGAACCTTTCAAAAATAAGTAGAAAACAAATACCATTCAATTAACTTTTAATTTCAAAACACAACTTTTGATAACTTTACATTTAAAAAAGTCGAATTTCCCGCTCAAGCGTGGTATTCGAAGTCGAATACCATGGCCCCGGGTAAAACACCCAGGGTTCAAATTGCCTAGGTCATAGTATTCGCTGAAAAATACCATGGTCATGTGGTACATATTTAGTTCTCTGATTGGACAAGCTCATTGTGAGGTATAATATTATCGGTAATACTACAGGGTGTCCCAAAAACCCCAAAACTATTGAAACAACGTATTGTTAGAATTTGAATTATAGCACTCAGCTGAACGCAAAGATGCGTAAAATATTGACAGGGTGCAAAAATTAAATATTGACTTATTAAGAAACTAAAATATCTTTGTAAAGCGCATGATTTTCTGCTCTTGACTTGGGAATTTAAAGCAGCTTCTTATATAAAAGAGAATAACTTAGCAAACATGATAAAATCACAAATTAGTCATATTATCAGAAAATGGTTCAACTCACCACAGAACGAGTTGTCATTGTTATATAACGCTGCGTATTACATAAGTCTCTCTTGCAAATGTTCTTTTAATTTAAAAACAGTTTCTTTAAGTTATGTTATGACTGGCAAGCTTTTATGCACGTGGGTTCAGCAGAGTGCTAAGGCATTCAAATTCTAACAATACGTTATTTCATGAGGTCATGCAATAACCAAGGTTAGCAACTTGGTAACCAGGTATCCTGACGTCAGCATGTCACATGGTTCATTCACGACTACTGGGGCGTCAGCATGTCATTTTGGTTCATTCATGCACGACTACCGGGGCGCATTGCCATTGTATCAATAAATCAGTCATCGAATAACGAATATCCCACAATTTCAATCCACGCAGAAAGATAACTTAGTCTTTTCTTCCATTGAAGTCAGTATCATTGGGTAAAGTATCAGATGTCAGGCCAGGTTCTTATATTTCTCGTTTTATATAACATTCTTAAGATGTACGCACATATTTCTACTCCTGAGATATCGTGTTTTCGCTTGTTTGGTGAAATTGTTTGTAAGTATGCAGTGACATAATCGGTGTACAATTGGCAATGAAGGCACGACTCCTCGATTGTTCAGTGTAAAATTTAATATCGCCGAGAGGCCCGTAAACTGTCTTTGAAGTGGCTCATTTTTTTTATGATCTTTATTTATAAAGTCGGTATATAAATCCTTTTAACAAAATGAATGTGCTGTACTAATATCTGAAATTACTTAAAATACTTCTATAAATGATACATATATACTCAGTAAAAAGTTAAAAATGGTCCACCAATTTACTAGCTCTTAAAAACCTCTAGTGAATTAGAAGTAACTATAGTATACGTGTACAGGTAATTGGTTCCATTCTTTTATGGTCCGTGGAAAATAGGAAAATTTAAAACTATCTTTATTTGCTTTCCAGATTTGAAATTTAAAAAGGTGGCTGCTACCGCGTGTCCTAGTTTCTGTGTGTGGTATTAAATAGTTATCAGTATTAAAATCAGTAAGATTATGGCTCATTTGGTACATCATTGCAAGTCTAGCTTCTTTGCGTCTTTGTTCTAGTGTTTTTCAACCAAGGTCATTCAACATTTCTGTTACACTGGCACGTTGGTGCGTAATTCTGTAAACAAAAGCGTGCTGCTTTTCTTTGTACGTTCTCCAACATCTTTATATCTCATTTTATAATATGTGGTCGCAAGCTATGTGGGCATATTCCAATCTAGGTCGTACAATTGTACACACAGTTTATTTAATATTACAGTCGTGCCAATAGAAGTGTTCTGAAAAATGTTGACCAGTTCATTTCCTAACTTCAAGGAGTTTCTCTGAACAATTCCTCAACAATTTGATAAGTTCCTTAAAAAATTCCTAACTTCCTGTTTCATTGACCAATCCGATTGCTCAAAAATAAAATTTGATTGGTCAATGAAACAGGAAGTTAGGAACTTTTTAAGGAACTTATCAAATTGTTGAGGAACCGTTCAGAGGTGTTCCTTCAAGCAGGGTGCGATAATTCAATATTTTTAGCCGTACCTGACTGGTACTCCGACAACTTTTGCCGCGTACCTGGTCTGGTACAAACTTAAGAGTCAAGACGTACCTAAGACTACTTCCGAGTCATGCGTTTTTATACCTACGTATAGTTTACTGGTTCAAAAGCAAAAAAATGTATGGGCAATTTTGTACAAATGAATCTTTAATTATGGTATTTGTACAACATAATATAACAGTATACAAGGCGTCGACGTTGTGACTCGAATGCCATCGCTCATTTACAGTGGATTTACCGTGGGTGCTAACAGTCTGACCTCAGCTACATACTGTGTAGTTTTCCTCATTGCATGGGCCTAAAAAAACCCCTGTGGTTCCGGTTTCATATCGCGAAAAAATTAGGGTAGGTAGGTCGGAAATAAATTTTTTTTAAATATTTTTTCATGGTTTTAGCGGTTTTTTGCTGGGCGTTTTTCAGTAGAGTCCCGACATCAATATTAACTAGAGATGCGTAGTTCCTGCGGACGAATTTAGGCAATTTGTTTCAATAATTATTGTGACATCAGACGCCATTTTGGCACGCTGTACGAGCATCCCGTAACCACCCGGAGAAAATAGGGTCGCATGGTCAATCGTGTTGAAAAAATAATAGGGTGGGCAGTAGAAAAAATAGGGTCGGTCGGGAAACCGGAACCACAAGTATTTTATTTTTAGGCCTTGGTATAGCATTGACAATTAAGTCCAGGTCACACTACACAACGATAACGACACGATAACTTGTAAACACGCGATGATTGGTATCCAAACTACAACAAAAACGATAAAATTATCGGCATTTGACGATAACGATTTTAAAATCGCTCACCCGAGCGATTTTTTTTCAGTCGGACGATGACGATAAATTTTTTGATCAAGCGCAAAGATAACCTTTTGGCTTTTTTCATCCCAAAATATGTCGGATGCGTGGAATTTACATGTACAGCTAAAGTTCTTCACGGTTTTGAATACTTTGGCAGGTTTGCTAGTTATTGCTAGAAGGAAAATGTAAGTACGCGAATAGCAAATTTTCGCGTACCTACGTGGTACTTGCCTAAAAACAAAGAAGTACCAGACCATAAATTTGGCGTACCTCCGGTACGTTGGTACGCGAATTATCGCACCCTGCTTCAAGTTAGGAAATGAACTGGTCAACATTTTTCGGAACACTTCTATTGGCACGACTGTAAGAGGACAATTCCAAAAATTACGTTTGCCATTCCGTAAACCGTCCGGTAAGGAATGATGCTATAGCCATAACAAAAGGGGGTCTTGGATACCATAACTTTGGAGTTTCTTAACAATCGCTGGTGAGGAACTTTATCGAATGCTTTCTCAAAATCTAATATCACGGCGTGAACGGGCATTCTCATCAAGAAATGTGATCATTTCATCAATTGCATGAATTAGTTGTGTTGTTGTAGACCCTTTTGCTCTAAAGCCATGTTGCATGTCTGTCTGAATATGATTGATATGATGTTCGTCAAAGAATTTCATAATATGACTGTGGATAATATGCTCTAGAACCTTACTAGCAACAGATGTTAGAGAAATCGGGCGATAATTGCTTAGGTCATTTTTTCCCCTTCTTAAAAACAGTTGTAACGTTGGCAATTTTCCATGCTTGTGGTACAACTCCACTGTTTATAGACTCTTGGAATATTTTCGTTAGAACTAGTGCAATATTATTTGCATGCTTCTCCGTGAACCACGGAGGAATCCGGTCTGGGCCGCAGTGGATTTATTGGGATTCATACAGTGCCTATAATTGTGTAGCGACCCCATTTGCAGAAATAATCAACGGTCCAATGTTAACTGTTCGTTTATGCTCGGGATATTAGTGAGGTTTTCATTCGTAAAGACACTTGAAAATTTCCTGCTCAGGATTTCCGATAACACCATTTTGTCTCAATAAACACCATTTTGTCTCATTAAACACCATTTTGTCATGGGCAATGTTAAAATGTACGTGCGTTTACTTTGGTGGGTAAATATTGAATTTTGGGGCAATTGTGGGAGTTGTCGCAGCTGTTCCTGGTTATAGGTCTGCTGAAAATGTATATAAATTTACCCTCGATAATTCCTTCAACTGTTATAAAATCTGCCCAGCTTCTCTAGAAATTTGTGAGATATATATTATTTTAATTATCTATGATTTTTTACAATACGCCTAAGGCTTATAATCTTGCCACAAGGGCATCAATGTACAAACGTAATCATAGTTGAACCTGCTTTTACCCCCAGCCTCGTACCCAGGGTCTTTCCTCTTGGGGAGAAAAAACCCGGGTAGACGCTGGTCACGTGATCTGCTAAAACCTAGCAGATTTCTAAGTAGCCCGCGTGCAGGCCCAAGGGAACTGATAGTGGGCCTGCAAGCAAGGCCCGGTATTTTGTACTTTCCGCGTTCGCCCACGAAGCGGCATTCTGATTGGCTGTTTGCTGTTGGATTCTATAATTAGGTCAGTGATTCATCACAAAGGCTCTCGATAAGCTCATAATTCGAAAATTGATCACTTTTTTCGATTATAAATGGAACAAGAACAGACTGTTTATTGTTTACTTGAAGGAAGAGATGTTTTTGTCGTTATGCCAATGGGGATTGCTTGTCGTGAGGTGTTGGAATAGCAACATTACGACTGGGATAAACTATAGTAACCTTTACTTGAGTTTCATTAATTTCAAACAGACTTGATACGTTATATGTTCCTCAAGAAAATTATCTTTTGGTTGATGTTGAGATGCAGTTGCATGTAAGCCTATTCGAAACACTTTGCGATTTACAAGGCTTCGCTGAGAGAGCGAAACAGAAGACGGTATTAAATTGCCGTTTGAAACGAAACGATCTGGACTCTGAACGCTCTCTTCTTTTGTAGAGTTCTTTACCAAATGAAATAACTGAAATAAATTTCGTACTTTCCGCCGTCAACAAGAATTCCACACACGATCTGATAAGTGAGACAATTTATTTATAACAATGGCGACAGCGAAGCACACATAATATAAATGCTGATGTGGTCGCACGACTTCCCTCACGAATTGAAGTTTGAGACTGGTTTATTGTTGAAATTCGTCTTAATTTGCCTGTTCTGATTTTAGTTGAAAATGAGTACCGGCAAATTTGTCAATTACTGACGGCGTTGCTTGCTTTTTTGGAGTTAAAACGCAGCCATTTAGACATTGTTTATGTTCTGAATAAGCAGAGAAAACCCCGCAACATTTTAATGCGAGTTTGTTTGTTAATATTTGGGTGCTGTCATTGGTTCTTTTTTGACAATTGACGCGCGAATGGGGCGTGTTATGAAAAGGGGCGTTTTACAAAATACCGGGCCTTGCTTGCAGGCCCACTATCAGTTCCCTTGGGCCTGCACGCGGGCTAAATATTCCCCGAATCCCCGGAGCCCCCAAAGGCGAGAGGAATCTAGGGGGTCTCGCATTCAAAATGCCATATAAATCCCCCCTCCCCCCCCCTAAAGTTTAGACCCCGGCCTACGCGCACTGGAGGAAGTCGAGGAACTCCAGAGGGAGGAACTCCAAATCTAAAAAAAAAACTAGGAGCAAATCAAGTGATACTTGCAGCAAATCTAGTGGAAGAATGTATCTCATCGTAATATTAAATCCTACGAAAACTATTAAAGCCTCTGCGGAGGAGAGAGAGGGCGAATAGTTTTTGGAAAAAGATGTTCGAGTACGATTTGAAGTCCAGTGAAGTTAATACAGGGTGTGTTGGTCATATCAATCGTTCCTGGGTGGTTCCTTCGTAGCTTCCGACGTCTCATAGATCATAGATGGTAATATTAAATTATGTGCATTTATTTCGTGAAGTTCTGCACGACCCGCTGTCAAGAATGTGTAGTCTGACGTACTCTGACCCCAAGCAGGACGTATGAGGAAAATCCTGTCTGCATTCGTAGCTTTGATTATATGCTCACTCTTGGGCATAGATATCTATGCTCTTGGGCAATTTATAGTCGTCCAACTCACCAAGAAATGAATACATTTTCTGGCTTGTTTCGATGTGTATGGCGGCAGGGAAGACGAAACATTTCAACATCAAGTATTCTTCGCTACTACAGCTATGAACCTGGATTTCCAATCGCTGGCAGACACCCGAAAATTACAACTGCTCAAGAAGCTGTATCTGCTATAAAATCAAGTAGGCGTTTTTATATAATTTTTTTCCAATGCACTGAACAATTTTTATAATGTTAATTAAACGTTTGATAAGTACAGCATGGTGAATGAAAGCAGTGGTGTTGCCAGCATGACTGTATGTCATATTGTCATGGTGGGTTTTGTGAACACCAAAGGTGTGAGCGGTGAGCTTAATATACTAGAGGGATAAAAATTTCCTTTGAATATATTCAAAATTGCCGTCCCACTCGGTTTAGTTACAACTTCATGTATGACCCAATGTGTTCAAATCTCTTTCAAAATATAGTACACCTGACGTCAACTGCTTCTGTTAGCTTGATCCCTAATGCACCTATCGATGTTAGGCCGGCAGGGGGGGGGGGGGGAAGGGGGCGGG